AGGGAATAAAAAAAAACTATTACGAGTAAAAAAAAACTAACCAAAAACTAAAACAGTATTCAGAAAAGAAATATCATATACTGCCAAAATGAAGATGCTAGTCACAGAGCACTGTCACTCAATCACATTTGATCATTTAACAAATCATAAACGTCTAGCACAGATTTTACTGGATTACTTCAAAGCACAGAGGATACAATTACATCTGCATAAACTGTGTTTGCTTTGCAGATGCTAAAACAGAAACAATTTTAATTAACCTATTTCTCTTTGTTTTTTTCCTCAACTCCCAAATATGCTTGGCTAGAAGAAAAAAAAGATATAATTAGGAGTGACATGTGACACCATTGGTGCATTTCTGTAATCTGAATTTTCTTGTTACTCTTTGTCATACAGCTTGTCTGCATTGTTATATGAAATAATTGATCCTTACATTAACCAACGCATTTTCCTTTACTGAGACTAATGTGATCTTTAAAAATAAATAAATTGTTCTATTACTAATGGGATGTCAGATACCAGCAAGTCACAGCCAGCTTCAAAAACAAGGGATCATTCATAACTACAATTCATATTCTGTTCTCATTCTTCTGAGATCTTAGCTCCCCTTTTTACCATCATTTGTAACTGTCTGTACACTGAAAATAGACGTGCCTAGCAAACAATGCTGTATAGCCTAAGACCAACTCCCTTTATAGCTGCAGTTTAATGTAAGCAGTGTTCTTATTTCAATCCTCTAGTTATACTAAATAATGACTTTTTATTTTACTCTAGTCTGAAATGCAACCTCATTTCCCTCACTGTTCTTTACTTCCATAAAACACATTGTAAAACATACACCAAGTGATTTTCTTGTCAGTATGACAAAGAACTATTTCAAAACTATGAAATTATTCACTACACAGGACAAAAGGTAAATGAATAATCTGAAAATAATATATAGTACAGAGAAGAGAAAGCAGTTCCCCTAGCAGAGAAACAGTTATCTCTACAACGAAACACAACAGCTGTTCAACAGCTCCCTCTTAGAGATAATCAAGAATTTTTCTAAAATCTTTTCGCTGGAATAGGCAAATTTATCCCAATGAGAAATTTCGTAAAAGTAGTTATTTCTACCTAACTTTTACCTGAAGAGCTCTCTCAGATTCAAGACAGACTGACTGCCTTTTCCAGGACAGAGAAACTGTGACTATTTTAGTATTCTGGGGTTGGCAGCTAAAGAAAAGAAAAGAAAAGCGTTCCAAAGCGTTCCACTACCTTTGCTCCCTTGTGGCTAACACATACATTGATTCAAAACACAGAAACAACAATATTAGGGAATTCTTAATCAGGAGTAAAAGAGGAATTAGTTTTTAAAAAACTCTGGAGGAAGCAACACAAGGGCATTTAATTTTTATAAAGTTCTACCACCCTAGAGCAATTGCAAACTTTGAAGAATTAACTAGCATAAACTTGTCACTAGGTCATTACCTTAACTGATCATTTCTTTAATAAGGTAGACACTGAGATAATCACTGCTGATGAAAAGACACTATTCAACATGAATTTGGTTGCATAGCCTTCATATAGATTTTCACAACCTCCTCATGACAAAAATAAAGGCTTACGGTCATTCTTCCGCTTTGTATGTAGTGACATTGATATAAACAGATCTGGTGAAGTTTCTTGTCCAAAAACAACATTGGAAACCCACTAAATAGGAATATAGTTAATCATGAAGGCTATACTGTCACTTTAAAACAGAGAAGAACCCAAATGACTTTCATCACTAAAGCTGCATCTGTAAGAAGAGTGGATAGGTTTTTAAAAAAAAAAAAAAAAAAACCACACACACACACACACTTATGAATTCAGAGTAACTTCAGAAAAACATTTAATGATGTGATCTGTGGGCGCAGTTCAGGGTTTTATAATCATTATGCAGCAGCTGAGGACGTTTGCAATGTAGTAGAGGCTGCTGCAATCAGCACACAGTCAGGCCCTCAGTCAAAGGATCACAGAACAGTTGAGGTTAGAAGAGACCTCTGGAGATCAGCTAGTCCAACTCCTCCTTTAAGAAAGGCTGAGAGAGCTGGGCCTGTTCAGCCTGGAGAAGAGAAGACAGGCAATCAGTGTGTACAAGTAGCTGAAGGGGGGGGTGTCAAGAGGATGGGGCCAGTCTCTTCTCTGTGGTGCCCCGCGACAGGACAAGAGGCAACGGGCACAAACTGAACCACAGGCAGTTCCATCTGAACATGAGGAAAAGCTTCTCTACTGCGAGAGTGGTCGACCACTGAAGCAAATTGCCCAGAGAGGCTGTGGAGTCTCCTTCACTGGAGATCTTCAAAACCCGCCTGGACATGATCTTGGGCGATGTCCTCTAGAGGATCCTGCCTGAGCAGAATCACAGAACGGTTGAGGTTGGAAGAGACCTCTGGAGATCAGCTAGTCCAACCTCCCTGCTCAAGTAGGGTCCTCTAGAGCATATTTCCCAGGATCACATCCAGACGGGTTTTGAAGATCTCCAGCGAAGGAGACTCCACAGCCTCTCTGGGCAATTTGTTTCGGTGTTCGACCGCTCTCACAGTAGAGAGGCTTTTCCTCATGTTCAAAGTGTTGCAAAAATTCATTTTTGTCCAGAGTGTTTCTGCCCGGTTTCGAACCGGGGACCTTTCGCGTGTGAGGCGAACGTGATAACCACTACACTACAGAAACCACCCTGATCTTACTTCTCACTGCAGTAATTTGCCCATCCACTGCCTGAACGCACAGGCAGATCCCATCCATCATTTCTGAGCAGATACCTGGATGGCTGGTATATACATACAGCAGGAAAAAGCTTAACCACTGCAAAACCAATCCCATCCTGTCCTTTTTTCCTTTAACTTAGCTATGTGAATTTGCAGCTGTACTCGCTCCTAAAAATGTCACCTATTTTCCACCTGCAAAACAGGCAATGGAGATTATCTAGAAAATGAACTGAAGTATTTTTAGTGTAACTATTGAAATGTTTACTAATATTCTGCACTGCAGAATACTTACTTTTATCTTCAGTGACACTGTCTTTATGAATATGACTTCTCAAGAAAATTAGCATTGGCAAAGTCAAAAAAGATTCTAGTCCCAATATTTTTTAAACCAAACTTTGAGATGTCAGGGAAAGTGTCCATTGACACAAGATCAGATAAAGTAGTATCTTGAGCAAAATCTCAGCTTATGTTAAATAAGTTTAATCAGAATATTAAGGAGTTACATGTTTGAAAAAAACAAAAATTCAGGGTAACATAGCTCAATATGATTCTGGAATTTAGGTTCTTTCTCTGCAAAGCTCTGAACTGCGTATGTGTATATGAAACAGAGTATTGCATGCACTGAGATGCTTCACTGAGTTGGAGTGGTTGTCACAATTATTAGCTATCTTTGAACAATGGCAGTCCCTGCTCAAGTGGAAATATCGATTCCTTAAGGATGACTCTTCCCCCACAGCTGTACATTCTTTGCAGATAAATAATCTGATAGGGATAGTTTCACAGTAACTGTCACTAAACAAAACAGAGTTAAAATCCTGACCACATGGATTAAGTCAAGGGCAGGAAACACATTTTGCTAGTACAATATTCAATGATATCAGAGCATAAATAAAACTGTCAATAATGATGGCTAGAAATACGCCTACCCCATTAGAAAATGATTTCATGACTTTCTACTTCTTTCATATTCCCCATTTCCTAGGTAGTATTAGGTCTAGTATTAGACCTTTATCTGTGGCAGCATCTGAGCTACAGATATAGCAATTTCTAAAGAGAATGACAATTCCCAATTTCCTAAATACCTAAATTTTACCTACGGCTAGGTAAAATTACGATAAATCCTCTTTCATGCTTAAAAAGCTTCATATAGGTACTGTGTCAACAATAAATAAAATGTAATAATCTTTATAAGAGGGATAGATCAGAAATCTATGGAAACAATACAAAAAGTCACTATCTCAGCAAAGTATCCTAGAAAATTTATTATTTATTATAATAAAAACAGCTGTACCGGCTTCAACTGCAGGTCTGCATAATCGCCATCTCCAAAAACCAATGCTTTAGTAAGAGTAAGATCAGACTATTTCTCCAAAGTCTCCCAGCCTCAAAGACTTAAAAGACAAATGCTAAACAGCACAGAAGGGCGTGTTCACAGGAAATCGGGGGGAAAAAAAAAACACCATAGATGAAATTCCTTTACAACAGGCGTTAATTCCAGTGCAAGGATACATGACACTTGTATATTGTCTTTAAGCCCTCTGAATTCTGGACTCTACCAGTGGCCACACAGTCACCAGCATGTAGCAGCCAAAGGGCACCAAGGGGACTTTATAAAGCAGTTCCAGTCTAACACAAATAGCACACAAATAGCAATCTTCCATACATTTCTGTGCTCCAGCCATGCTTCCACTCCATTTCCTGCAGGGGGCATGCTGCCTGGGCACTGAGCTGCAGGCTCAGGGTGAGAAAAGACAGCTTCAAAAGAAGGTCCGTCAGCTCCAGCCCTCAGCAGTCATCCCGCAGGTTAAGCATGCCTTGTGGAAGCAGCACGTGTCCCAACAGAGAAAAATCCACCCGACTCTGTCCCCTCAATTCAGACTCCAAATCTATCCTGGCATCTGTGCCCCTGGCTTTGATATCCTGCCCCCGCCACAGGCTTTGCATGAGGGCTCAGGGCTGTATGAAGTGTATGATGACATGCATCCTGCTATAGGAAGCATGTATTTGCAGACTGGGCCTGTAAGAACCAATTGCTTCCCAGTGTTCTTCCCGACACGCTCTCGTAACACCAGTGAACCAGCTCCAAGAACTGGATAGAGGGTGGGAATTTATGTCTCAGTAAGGCACAGCCAAATACCCCGAGAGAGCATCAGCAAGTCCGAAGGAGATATGGGGGGAGGGACTTTCCAGTGAAACGTGAAAATATCGTTGTGACAAATGTGATTATTTTTCAACGAAAGTGATTTTAAAAATATTAAGTATTTCAGTTACCTTCTGGAGGTGGGGGAGGGAACTCCTCTGTGTCCATTCTAGTGTATCCACTGTGCCTTTAGCAGACCAAAAATTCCTGCAAAATAAAACATATTTTGTAGATGAACATCATTTCCAGATTTTCAGACACTCCTTTTTAATTTGGCCAAGCTCATACCTATTAGCTAATACCGTTATGGACGAGAGGAAGTGTGCCTAGCTTCTAGCTTCGAAATATAACTAGTCTACATTTTTATGTACACAGCCCCTAGCATTGAAGCCATTTCTTGTAATGATCTCAATACGCCAGCTGGATAAAGATGAAGCTTTTAAACCATGTGGTACTCTGCAGCTCTCATTGTGACAACTACAGCCTGATTATTAAAAGATGTTATTTTAGTGTCCGTTTGTGCCAAATATTCTGTTTCAAAATCTTAATGAAGGAAGGAGGGAGAAAAATTCTAGGAAGCTTATCAGTTTTAATGATGCTTTTCTCCATTTAGCAATTAATACCGAAAAATCACAAACATTAGCACCTAATACCTAGCTTGTCAATGAACACCACATTAATTATTTTTCCCTTAGAAGGCATCACTTCTGCTTATAATGGTTTAATTTACATTCATTTTGAAATGAAGCAACCATAACAACTGCTGCATTTTCTCCATTTCAATTGTCCCTTCCTTAGCTTTAAAGATCTTTTGTTTTCTTCATCCAGGAAAAAAAAAAAAAAGAGAGAAAATCTAAGTTAAAAAGGTTCTTGAAGCACTTTGAAGTTCTAACCATACACTTCAAACACAGCTTTTTTCTGAAAGAAAGAAATTTTTCTGAAAGAAAAATACTCGTTGAGCCCGCTTTGCTTTCACTTCTCCAGAGGACAGTGAAGTAATAGTGAGGAATCTGCATGAGCGCCTGAACTTTTTTCCTCTCTTCTCTAATGCTAGGTCTAATATTTTAATGTAAAGAATAAAACCATTTACATACTTTGGCCCAGAATGCACACTAGCAGAGAGCAAAGCCCAGAATATGCAGGAGAAATTTTCCTTCCTGCCCCAAAACAGCATTTAAATAGTGATTTTGCAGTAACATCTGTAAGGACAAACAAGACCAGCTGTACTACACAATGCACATACACTGCCCAAAAACATTTCCATTCTAACTGACTAAGCAGCACATCGAAATGAAAGATTTAAGAGTAAGGCTGTGGAGGAAAATTAAGTTTATAAAAGCTGCAGGAGACACTGGAAGAGCCAATACTGGAGTTGCTGCATCTTTTGTCTCACTCCTGAGTACTTTTTTGAAGTTAACATCAATGGAGTTATTGTCCGTGCTTGCAGCAGTTAACACAACATTCTTCCAAGGTCCATGAAGAGGCCAAAGTTAGCTCTCCCGAAGTCCAGGGTTGCGATCCTACCTATTGCCTTGCTTCCTCCTCGCAGGAAGCTGAACTCCACCATCTCATGGTCACTGCAGCCAAGGCTGCCCCAACCTTCACATCTCCAATCAACCCTTCCTTGTTTGTTAGTACAAGGTCCAGCAGCACACCTCTCCTTGTTGGCTCCTCCACTACCTGTGTCAGAAAGTTATCATCAATGCTTTCTAGGAACCTCCTGGATTGTGTGTACCTTGTTGCGTTGTTCCTCTAGCAAATGTCAGGGTGGTTGAAGTCTCCCATGAGAACCTGGGCCTGTGACTGTGAGGCCGCTTCCAGAAAAGGTGGCAGTGAATGAAAAGAAATCCCTTAAAAAGCATCCGTAGAGGTAAGAAGCAATTCACCTCCCTCATGTCAGACACATAAATGGAAATCACGAGGGCAGATGTTCCAAAAAGGATGACAATTCTGGCATTTTAAGGTCCTGATACAATTGAGACAATTCCTAAAACTTCCAACTCTCTAAGTGCATGAAATTGCACTCTAAATCATCTTTAGCTCTGCTCTCAATCAAGTTCTGGATAGGAAAAAGCAACTTCAGAGCCAAAGCTTAAAAAGGATTCATAAACTTATGTACAGCATCTGCCTATAACACAAAATATTCCTTTACACATTTTCACTGCCCCTTCTAAAGTCTCCCTCATTACCATTTATTTCTGTAGAGCTAAAAGGCGTGTTCCCACTTACAAGCGTCTGGAATGCATTCTGCCACATCAAAATTGTCAGGAAAAAAAAAAAGGAAGAATTATGGTCTCAGGAGAAGGCTATTTATTTTTTAAACTTGAATCCTCACTGAAACTTAGATTTTCAAAGATGAAACATGTAATAACTGGGAAATCTTTTAAAGTTGCAATACCTCTTCCAGATACATCTCTAAGAGGGTAGCTAAAAGGCATTCAGATTTTTATATATATATACACACACACACATTTTATATATATATATGCAGTAAATTTTTAAATATATGCAGAACTTAGTTCAATAATAAGTTCAAAAATCATTTTCTTCCTTACACACACATAATAACAAAATGTAGAACTACATTTTTTTAATCTTATTTTCCTTGTTTAGTTTTTAGCTAGATCAAAAAGGGAAAATAAGAAAACAGCGATGTGTTTCAAATCGCACAGCATTTGCGCAGAGGAAGGACACAGACTGAGGGCTGGAATCCTAACCACTGAGCTGCTTTCTCTTATTTGAACAGTGCAGTTATTCACATGAAAAAAGACGCACTTTCTCACTTAAGAATGCCTTATCGGTTGACTTATGCATTGCATTAATTTGTCTTGAAGTTCCATAGACTTGTTTTCAGTTTTTAGTTACCAAGACAAATGTTCTGTCAGCAAAGAAAGCTTGCGTATTGTAAGTTCCCGTTATACCCGCCATAAAATAAAATAATTGTCACTTTATATAGCAGAGAGCATGTTCATGGAACACACTTTTAGAGGCATCAAGCAGAGGAGAAAGTTTTCACTCTTCCGTTGAGAGACACAGGAACTAAATTAAAATGAAGAGATTTAAATTAAGATTAAGGCAGATGATTTAATCCACCTAGCAGCATACAATTCATTTTGTGTTTGTAACTCACGTGCTTTTCCCTCCCCATTGATTCTCGTGGCTGTTATAATTTGGAACTTCTGTTAACAGCATAGCTATGCATATTTCTCTGAACAATTACCACAGAAATCACTGAAAAAATTAAATTGAAAGGGACCTATGGTTGTTTTCTTATACGCCCAAGAAGGTCTAACTTCAAAAATCAGACCAAGTTGCTCAGGGCCTTTTACACTCAAGTTCTGAAAATCCCCAAGGAGGGAGATCTCACCACCTCTCTGGGCATCCTGTTCCAGCGCTTAATCGGTCATGTCAGGAAAAACTTTTCTCTTATGTCCAATTGGAATTCCCCTTGCAGAAATTTGTGTCCGTTACCTCTTGTCCTTTTGCTGTGAACCTCTGAAAAAAGTCTGGCTTCATCTTCTCTACAATTCCACTTTAGGGAGTAGAGGAGTGTAATTAAATCCCCCTTTAGCCATTTCTTCTTAAAACTAAACAAATCCAATTCCCTTAGCCTCTTCTCACGTGTTGCAACCCCCAACCATGGTAATGGCCATGGATTGTACCAGTTTTTCAGTATCTCTTTTGTACTCGGGGCCCAAAACTGAACATAGTATCCAGAGGCAGCATCATGTGAGCTGAGGTGGTGTTATTTAGTTTAACATAAAATTATCTAAGAATCTCAGTAAGCGTGTAATTTTTAAGCCACAGAATATCAAATTCCTGTTCCAAAGGAGTATTTACAAATTGAAAATTAAAGAAAAAAACATTATTTAACAGGAAATACATGAACTAGTGTGTACTGCATTACAAAACTAAGAATCTAGGCAACTCTGAACAACTGTCCTGAAGTACTGGACATGACAAAAAGTTTATCAAAATATGGAGGGTTTTTTCATTTAAAGTTCATTTCCCAAATGCACTATAACTTCTAGTTACTGATTCAAACCACTTCCTTGCAGGCTCCGCAGAAAGCACAGAAATATAGGGCTAGAAAGGACCTCTTGAAGTTATCTAGCCCAAAGGTACTTATGTCAAAACTTTCCATTGGCTTTAGGCTGCCTGATCAACTCATCTGGCTCAACACTCACCATCTTTTTTCCTTCAGGTACGGGCAGAGAGGTAGCTGTGAACGACATGGATCACGCTGATGATCTAAAGACCTTTTCATCACTCCTCTACGCTCTGCACAGCCTCATGCAAAAGCATGCCCCCAACATACAGCAGATGCCCAGCCAATGCCAGTAAAGAGGCCAAGGCACATGGCTCCCAGGTACTTTTATGAGAAGATAGGTGATCCATTCTGGCCAAAATACTGGCCATCACTTTGACCACCTCTTTCTTGATATCTTCATCTGGTCCTCTCCCTTCAAACTTTTAGGAGCAACAGGTCTCTTACAGCTTTACAGACTGAAAGAGGAAAGGGAACTTTCCTACTTTTTCAGTTGTTGAACCAATCTATTTGAACAAACTTACATGAAGAAAATAGTCTTTCTGAGCCTAAGAGACTATTACTGTTAAAAATCAATTTTTAGCAGCTCAGCATGCTCCAGTTCTAGGGGCTTAACTAGTAATTCTGTAAGTTTGACTGCCTTTAAAATTCAGCAAAAAACATGTTAAATGCGTATACTTGAAAAAAAATCAGATGCCTTAATATATTGTGATATATTTAGTTACTTACCAATTAGTCATAATTTCTGACTTTTATATTGATATTTAAGTATAAATTATAGCATTACAATAAATTTCAGATTAAAATCAGATTTTCCAGGATGGTCTTCCTCACGCAGAGAAAAAGTCATATGCCATGAAAGCAAACAGATTTGAAATGGAAATGAAACCAGAAATCTGTGAAACGATTTCAAAGGACAGCTTCCAAAACTTGTTTCAGATATTTCATCAAGAGCACTCATCTTTGACCATGAACGCTGGTGTAGATGAAACAGGAGTTTCCAATGCCCAACAAGAGACTATTAGACCTTAGAAGCACTAACACCTCTATAAAAAGAGCAGTCTGCTGCCCTGGCGTTGATAAGACTGAAATTCTGATTCCATGACAAACAGTAATTTTAGCAAGAAAATTTATAGTCTTTGGACGACTACAAAGATGA